CTTTCCCAGCAGGATGGCCAGCCATTTCAGGACAGAGGGTGTTCAGCATTCCCATGAGGATTCTTAGCCCAGCACCTATCTCCTGACTCCAGGTCTGGCAGTGCTCGCTGGCCCGTGTCCGGTAGGAGGTCAGGGTAGGAGGTCAGACTCGGCTGCTGCTGCCCTCCTGAGTGGGAGGAGCGGAGGAAATGGCCTCACTACCCTCAGAGCATCCCCCACGGCTGGAAAGGCCATTGCAGATGTGACCAGAGAGTGACTGCGTGGCAGCAGGAATCCTGGCTCTGTGCACAGGCGATGGAGTGTGCACAGTCCCTCCTGCCCTTGACACTGTTAGGAAGGGGAAGGCACACTGGGAGCTATCGCTGCAGTATGTAGAGACATTCGTTTGGTTTTATAGCCTTTTATTGCTGCCGCTGGTTGATCCTCCCTTCTCCTTGCCATCTTGAGGAGGGCAGCCGGGCAGGCTGGCACATGGCTGCACTGTGCTGAGCAGCTCAGCAGCAGGGCACCCTCCTGGCATGCCTCTGGACTTGCACCCCTAGAAAAAGCACCAGTATGGCAGAGAAACTGGATTTGGTACCCTGCTGAGATGGTCCCCAGTGCTATCCCTGCACAGCCCCTCTGCCCATAGCTTGATATCCCCTGCCTCCACCACTCGTCACCTACCTGGTCGTTTATAAAATTTTAAATCTAATGGTGTAATAAACTCCAATAATGATATTGCAGCTGCACCGGGGCACCCTGGGATGAATATATTACAGGAGCTGCAGCAGTTAGGCAGGGAGGGCAGCACTGGGGCTGGGAGATGCTCCAGTCAGTGCAGCAGGAGATGGTCAAGCTTCCCCCAGTCCTACTGTGAGCAGGGCACCCCCTTGCTTTGCTCCCTCCCAAGCAACAGCTGAGAAAAGATGACTGGTGGGCAGGCAGCCCATCTTGGCCACAGTTCTCCTTGATCATAAGGCATGCCAGGAGACCTTCAGGGAAACGGATTTGTGGGGACTATGAGCCCCTAAGGCAGCCTACCGTCAGTTTCTGATTTATGGTTAGGGGATGCTCAGAGGGATGAACTGGGCTGAGCCTGGAGGACCACACTGCTTCCAGTTGTGGGCAGCCCCTGCAGCACTGGGCTCCTGGCTTGGGTGAGCCCCAGCCACCATGTGCAGCCCCCAAACAACAGCTGGATGTCCCTGTCCTGCCTCAACAGTGCCAGACCTGGCACCCACCCATCAGGGCTGGCATAATGACATGCATTGCAGACATGGGTAGGGCTGCTGCTGACCACAGCTGGCACAGCTGGAAGGGCATCTCATAGCCAAGGGGACATGCCAAGAGCTCCTGACCCTGGACTGCTCCTCCTGCCCCACCCACAGTGCTTTGCCAAGGTGGCTCCTTCCTCCCACTTGGCTTTACTAAAAACAACAGAGCCATAAACTGCCAGCAGAGCTGCCTCAGCACAGCAATAGGGCTGAGGTTTTAAATGCACCCAAGTCAGGAGACTTGGAGTTATGGTTCCCCAGGCAGCCATAGCTCAGCCACATGGTGCCCATGAAGACCCTGTGCATTCACAGACGTGTGCCGCTGGCAAGGGGCAGAGTTAGTGTTACCATGGCAACCACTGCTCCCCCATTTCCCAACATCTGTGTGATTAAAACCTCAACCTCAGTGCCATAGCCCCACTGATGGCATGTGCAGTGGGGGCACCCTGCCTGTCCTCCCCAGGCTGCTGGGTGAAGGGGCTGGAAGCCAAGTCTGGGTCTGCCCCTGCCCCTTGATGGCTGGTGGAGTGGTGGTGGACAGACTGGGTCTGCAAGGTAAATGCGAATTTGGAGAAGGTCACTGAGAAGTGGGCCCTGGACTGAGCACACCATGGGTATGGCACACAGCTGACCACCAAGCACACTGCATCAAGCCCTGCGTGAGCCACAAGCACTGAAGACACGGTGGTTGCCACCTGGCTGCAGAGCACATGGCTAACAGCAAACACAGTGCACAGAACCAGTGCCTTCAGTACCCTGTGTGCTCCGAATCCCAGGTGTGTTGCTGGCACCAGGTGTGGAGCACATTGCAAACGCCAAACACCTCACAGGGCTTCATTCTGAATACATTGCAAGTAGGGAAAGCATCCAACTGCCAACCCCTCTGGCAGCATTGACCCCAAGTGTGAGCTGGGCCACTGTTTACACGGCACCATCAAGCACCAAGCACCATCTTCCTGCAAACTGGCAGCTGATGCTGAGTCTGAGGGCACTGCCAGTGCCATGTGTGCCACAGGCACTAAAAACTGCGCTGTGGATGTGGGATGCATGGCGGACTGTGAGCACAGAGTGCACTGGAGAGAGCCTCAGCAGGAACAGCATGGACCGGTGGCACTGCTAATACAAGAGCTGGCACTAGCAATGGCACAGATCATGCAGCTGCTTCAAAGAGGGCTGGCGTCTGGCACCAGGCACAGGCTGGATAGTGTGAACACCATTAACTCTGTGCAGCAAGCTCTGCAAAATGGCAAAAACTTATCTTGACCACATCATGAGCTGTGCTTGCAAAGCATACTGCAAGTGAGTAGTGAGTTGGGCACTGGGGCTGGGTGCAGGGCAGATGCTTACACCTGTGGGAGTGAGTGGGAGCGGGACTGTGTGGGCAGTGGGAGCACACTGTGGGCACCACAGGCTGAGCCCACTGCAAGCACTGCACACACACTGGCACCAGGCACCAACCGCAGTGCCAGCAGTCTGCTGTGAACACTCATCACACCACCGGAATCAAAACACTGAGTACACCGCAGAGAGCCGGCTGGTGCGAGCACAGGCTATACTGCAAATGCCAAGTCGAACAGACACTGGGCACACCTTGAATGCAGAGATTACTGAGTGCTTGGCAAACACGAAACCTCAGCTGACACCAAATACCGAAGGTGCTGCAAACATCAGCAATGGCAGGGCCCATATCCTGAGCACAGTGTGTGCGCCGAGCGCTGCTGACACTGAGTGCGAGCACTGTGTAAATAACAATGATGCCACAGGTATTAAGTGCTGAGCACTCTGCAATTATCAAGCAAACTGTGGGCATCAGGCGCTGCACACACCACGACTGTAAACACACTGCAGGCACCAATTTGACAAATACACGCTTGATAACAAGCATGTGGCTGGTGCTGAGTGCACCGAAAAGAGCATGCGAGTATGGGTACAGAGTGCCACAGGCTATTGCATACACCAAATCTGGCGCAGGCAGTGGGGATGCTGCACACATCAGCTTGGGTATTGTGTGCATTGCAAATACCCAATATAGCATGGGCACTGAATGCCAACCAAATCCTTCACTGGCTCCTTCCTATGTGCTGTGCTATAAATAAGAAATGTGCCAAGGCACCACCCTCTTAAATGGACTGCAAACACCAAGTAGATGCAGACACCAGGCCACCCCACACTGACCACTGAGAGATGGGCATGGTGAAGCCAGCCCTCTTCCTGTGCCAGTCTCAAAGCCCACTGCAAAGAGCAGCCCTCCTAGGTGCCATGGTGGCATCAAACGCTGGCACACCTCATCTCACTAACCTGCTCCAGGCCGGCATCAGCAACCTGGCTTGCAGCCGGTGCTGATTGCTGCCAGGGGGATGAAGGCAGCCCTACCTGCAAGCTGCCAACCCCATGGTTCCCCCACACCAGGGTGCGTGGGGTCCTGCCTGTCTCTCGGGGAGCGACAGCCGTGCAGGAGGGCCAGTGGTGCGGCATGTGCCGGTGTGCTCAGGGCCTGTTATTTCATTTTCACTTGTCCCATCCCATTAGCACAGCTGTCTGCCACCAGAGAAGGGAAAATTGATGCTAAACGGGATATCAATTTATCATGGAGTGTGTCACCCGCCGCACGGCTCTGCCAGCCGAGTAGGAGAGACGCGCTGCACCAGCCAAGCAGCACCTGTAATTAACAGCTCGTCTGCCTCCCCCTCGCTGCAGCCTGGGCACCAGCTGGCGAGTGCAATACGGGGGAATCCCAGCTGCGGTCCACCCCCCACCCCCGGCCAGGACCCCACCATCACTCCTTGGTGCCGTGTGTGCTCACCTCTCACGCTGCTGCCAGGGACAGAGGTAGTCAGCAGGTTGTACGTGGGTGCGCCAGGCTTGCCAGCTCGTGGGATGCTTGGAGAGAGAGGTTTGTCCTCTGCCCCAGCCCTGCCTCAGCCATGTTCCCCCCGCCCTGATCCCTCGCTGGTGAGGTGTCCCAGCGAAGGCAGAACTGTAACTCATGAGGTAACGGTGCCCAGTGAGTAACGAGCCGGGAGCCCGACTCCGGGGCATGAATTACAGCTGCTGCCGGAGCTCAGTGAGACATCAATCCCAGCGGGTGGCGGGGATAGAAACCTAGCGTTCAGCGTGCCGGGAAGGGGCTGCAGGATGGGCCATCAATCCTGGGCAGGAGGGTACGATTCCAGAACAGGCATGGCTGGGGGACACACACTGGGGACATCCCTATCCACATCCCCATGTTTGCCCCTGGTCCCCCTAGGTGCCCCCAGCCCCCAGGAGAATGCAGGCTGTTGTGCCCATCTGAGGGACCACAGCAGAAGGGATGTTCCAGATGTGGCTTATCCCAGCTCTGGAAATGCCAGTGGCCATTCTGTGAGAACATGAAGGAGGGAAGAGCCCCCTGGGATACCTTAGTACAGAGCCAGGAACGGGATCCCAACCTGGTGCCAGAAAAATCTCCAAGGGTTTTTTCACGAGCAAGTTTTCCAACCCTAGTACTCCAGGCTGCTCAGCTGTGCCTCCACCTCCCCTCAATGCTCCTGCCATACAGGGGTCCTGCAATCACACAGCCCCTTCCCCACTGTGTCCTAGCAGGAGCAGAACCAGATCCCCACCCAGCCACAGCCAGGCACTACCATGCCCTGTGCCCGGAGTGCCTGAGCAGCGTGGCAGTGGCAATGACAGTAGCAGGGCAGGAGAGAGCGGGCAAGCAGGGCAGCCAGCTGAGCCAAGGCTGTTTGCAGCTTTGATGTTAAACACCCAGAGATGAAATGCGTGGCCTGGGGCTGGGTCCCTTGCAGCCAGTCGCTGGCCAGCCTCTGGCTGCGGAGCTGTGCCAGCGCTGGGGCCGATAATTGGATGCATGTTTCTTCCAATGAGTTTGTATCATTTTTATGTAAATTTGACATTTTCCTGATGTTCTGTAATGTGCACAAAGCAAGTGCCGTTCCTGCCGTCGGCAAAGCCTATTTCCTTCCTGTCTGAAGTGCTGTGTTGATTTAAGGGCCTGCTAATATGCACAGCCGGGCCCCCCCTCGTGCACACGCACGTGCTCACATGTGGCTTACCGTCTCTGATCTCTCTCCATCAGCCTCATGTGCAGCTCCCAGGCACCAAACCCTATGTCCAACCTAGGACCGGGGCCATCCTACACTGGGACAGCATGGAGCTGGGCTCCCCAGGACAGCAAAGCACCTTCTTTATCCATCTCATGTGCCACCAAATCCCCAGTAGGACCACTGGATGTCACTTGACTGTTTGGCTTATCCTGATGGAGGTGAAGAGGTCCCTCCATGCCTGGCATGCAGCCCCTCAGGGCTCTTTCATCTCCTAGAAGAAGCTCTGGGAGGAGATCAGAGCCCAGGAGCCAGAGGGGGAGGAAAGGAGAGGGCAACCAAGGGGCACCTTTCTGGCAGCACGGGAAGGTGCTGCCAATTAACTGGTTTAAGAGGATTGTGCAGAGGGAGCTGTGAACATTGCTGCTTGGGAGTTGCCAGAGGGACTGGGGTGGATCTGGCCAGGCATCCTGCAGCACTCTTGGGTGGGGCTCTGCATATCCTGGTCACAGACCGCCTGCCCACGGGCAGCAACTATGGCTCTGGGAGGCCCTTCCTGAGGTTGAGGGCACCCCCACTCCCACATCCCCTGGCTTCTCGTGCTGCACAATTTTCCTGGGCTCTGTCTGTGGCACAGGCAAGCGAGTTTCAAAGGCAGCGCTGCTATTTAAAGCCCTTATTGTTCGCGTCCTTGACACCGACAGCTACATCCTGCTGTCGTTCGATGAGAGCGCATCCTGGCCCGGCCAGCCAGAGGAAGGCAGCTAATGAAGAGCAAGTGCAAAGACGCCTCTTCTTTGTCCTGTTCACAAAGCAGCTTCCCAAACAGTCCCCCTCCGCCCTTCACCGGACGGCTATTTATAGCTCCCCTTCCCTAGGGCATGCCGGGGGTCTCCTCCAGACAGTGATGCCCTGGGATCCCTTCAGTGGGCAATTCTCTGACCCCTCAGCCCTGAGAGCTGACCACAAACATGTCCCATCCTTGCATGCTCCCCTACCAGGGACAGCCACGAGGACAGCTGGGTCAGCCAGGGCCAGGGAGAGAGTGGGCTTCCCATGGGGTCAGCTCCCTACCCAGCCCTGGCAGCCAGTGTCCCTGGGGGAGCTTCTCCATCTGGGCAGCATAGCTGCCTCTCTCCTCTTCCTCACTGTAGGCAAGTGCACATATGCCGCTGCTGCTCCCCTGCCTACCTTAGGTGCAGGGCTGCACAGCTATGGGACACAACAGAGGCCTGAGTGCCCCATCCGAACCCTCCATGACCAGGGCAGCCTGCCTCCTGGGCTCCTGATCACCGTGGGCATCTGCTGCACCCCCGTGCCAGGTGCTGCTCTCTCCAGCAAGAGGCTTTGACAGGAAATTAAAGATTAATGTTCCCTGCGGCACCTGTGCCGGCGGCGCCCACGGTGCCGAGGACGTGCCCAGCATGGCAACCTGGGTGGGGGGGCTGGGGCACAGGTGCCCAGGGCATTTGACCAGAGAGCAGGGGGACTGTGCAGGAGGCAGAGGTGGGACTGAGGAAGGAAAAGATGTGTCCCCTGTGCACTGAGACACTGTCACTGCATCAGGCATCCAGAGCCAGGCAGGGAAATGCCACTCTGTAGGTAGGGCAGCACCAGCGTTGAGGAGGGTTGCAGGTCTCAAGATTCTGCACAGAGCCCTCAGCCCATTCCCCACCTCCTTCAAGGTGAGGAGCCACCATCCCCTCGAGGGGACACCCCATGGCAGGCCAGAGGATCCAGCACTTGGCTAACTGGCCACCTGGCACAGCGAGCTGAGCCATGCAGCTGAGCAGGCAACATGATGCCAGGAGCATTTCCTCCCTCCCACTGGGAGGAGATTAAGCTCAGCCGAGCTCTGGCTGGCAGCGACCATGCCCACACAGCTGCATTTGTGGCTGCAGCTGCCAACTCAGATCCCAGTGCAGTCGGGTACTGCACTCTGCTGCATCCACTGCCCACTCTCATGGCACTCCCACCCGCTCCCAGGGCACAGCTCTGTGCCAGAACACTTTGAGCTCTGTACCAACTCCCACAGGCACATGCTGAGGCTCACAAGGGTGGTGGGACCTGTTCCCCCACTGCCTGTCCTGGACACACACCTACTGTGACCATGGGTCTCTCCCCGCGAACACCGGGCACCTTGGTGTGCAGGGCTATGGTTTTGTGAAATACGGCCCCTATAAATCCCGTCGTGTGCGTGCCATAATTCTCAATATATTTTCAAATATAGTTCAATTATTTTTCCCATATATCATGGAGAAATTGCATTGGCGAGTGGCGGCGCTAAGCAGGGAGCGCGTGGCGGGGCGGCGTTAATAGGATTGTGCATGGTATTATGCATGAGGTCGTTCAGGACACAGTGGGGAACCTCCCGTGCTCTGGAGAGACGAGAAAGAATAAATCAGGCTATTAGCCCAGCACCTTGCTCAGGTCTGCAGGGGATTAATCTCTGCGGCATTTAGGGATCCCAGCTGGGCTGTCTCCCTGGGCTACTCCCAGGAGCTCTGTCCCACTCTCTGCCCACATCTGCCCAAAGCACTGGGGAGCAGAGGCAGTGCTGAACATGCTAGAATCACCAAAGTGGGTGTGACACCAGGGAGCAGGTTTTCCATGACTGCATGCAGGACAGTCCCCAGGCCCAGTGTAGAGGCTGGGTGTCCTGGCACCTTCTCTGGAACAGCTTCATCCTTGTCTTGAGCTTGCAGCCCTTGCTCCAGCCCTGTATGAGGCCCTAGCAGCTTTGTGCCCCATGTCATGCTGCAGGTGGGCAGCATGGGGTACCCTTGCTCTATCTCACCATGAGACAGTAGCTCAGCCAGCAGTACCTTCTGTGGGAGCAGCCACAGCCTTCAGGACAGCCATATATAATCAGCCAGGACAGGCACATTTCCTTCAGTTTTCCATGAATATTTATGCAATTTGTGCAGAGCTGCCTGAGCCGGTCTGCCGAACCAGAAGGGATATGTCAGCCTGGCCCTCCACCTTCCTCCCGGTCCCGTGGGAGCCCCCTGGGGCTGGTCCCTCTTGGCTGTGCCACTGCACATACCTCCAGGACACAGCTGCAAGCAGTGAGATGGGAAGTGAGGGTCCTGGGAACAGTGACCGTGGGGATGGGTGTAAGGGATGGCAAAGTGTTCAAGGTAGGGTTAGACACTGCTAGACTGGGTTTGCAGTGGGAACATCTGCACTAGCCACAAACCCTGTGAACAGCACTGAAAGCAGGTCCCGGACACTGAGCTCAGGGACTGCTTTCCTGCCTGTCCACCTGGGAGAGCCAATCAGCCTCAGCACCACCTCGTCTGCTGCCAGCTGAGAGGAAGCCCAGCATGGAAGTAGCAGGAGAACTTGGTTATATCTCTCCAGGGTGCCTGTATGTGGGGGCAACTGGAATTACTACAGAGGCCAGACATCTAGGGCTGCCTCTGCACCAGGAGCAGGCAGGATGTTCCCTCCTCATGCACAGGGCTTGGCCTGCTCGGAGCAATTAAGAGGCTCCTGGTGCTTGACAGATGCCACCCTGGCTGGGTCCTGGGGGGCTGCCTGGCCCTGCAGTTGGTGCCCCATAGCAGACAGGGAGGTGAAGGACCTGCAGGGCCAGGGCATGGGTGTTCCCTGGCAGAGGCAGAGCTGGCAGTGCCAGAGCAAGCAGCAAGTGCAGGTGAGGTTTACAGTAAAGGGAAAAACAAATTATTAATCATGAGAGCAGCCCCAGCCGGGCTGTCAGGGCCGCATGGGCTCATGAATATTCAGCATCGGGCTGAGCACTAAATCTCATTTAAATGTCAGGGACCATTAGGCAGACAGGGAGGGGGCTGGGATGGCAGCTCCCCACTCTGTGCCAAGCCCTGCACCAGGCGAATGGGCTGGGACGGGGGTGCTGGCACCCCACTGGCACCACTTGGCAGGGACCACACTAGTGCTCTGGGCATCCCTAGCCCAGCACCTGAGTGTTCCCTGGAAGAGCCTGAGATCCCGATACCTCTGCTAACCCTGAACGTCTTCTGATTGCTGATGGGGGCTGACAACGCACACTAAGCACCCTACAGATGCAGACACCACCAGCCACATGTCCTGCCTGCCCCCTGGCAGAGGAACAAACCCTACTGGATCATCAACCCAGTCATGCTTAGCCTGGGAGGACACAGTCTCCTGGCCCCTGGCATCCTGGCCAATCCTCCTTACTCCTCAAGGCACACACAGGAGCAGCTTCATGTCCTTCCCTGGACACAGAGCTGGTGGATGCCAGAAGGGTGTCAGAAGGCTGTCCAGAGGGATATCCGGGAGGACTGAGGCCATGCCAGGGAGTAGTGGGCAGAACACTCAGGGGTCTGCACACTTGGCATCCTCCTTTGGAGCCCATTTCTTGGCAGTGCCTGGGCACCATCCCTTTCCATGCCAAGCACCCCTCCTCTCGAGCCACCTGCCTGCACCCAGCCATCCATACTCAGGGTGGTTGGTGGCTCCCAGTGGTGCCCACAGCGGTGGCAATGACAGCAGGCAACAGCAGGTAGCAGCAAGGAGCAAGCACACCTGGGCACTGCCTCCTGGTGCTGGCACTCACACTCTCTTCAGCTCAGCAGGGGCCTGGCAATTACACGGATATGTTTAAGCTCTTAATCCTACTGAAGATTTTTCCAAGGTCGGGATATGAGGCAGGTCCCCATACACTGCCAGGCTGCTATGCATCCCTGCTGCCATCTGCCGGGATAGGCCAGCTCAGGGACATTGGCACCCTGGCACACAGTGGCTCTTCCCATGCCTGGGCCACCAGCATCCTTCCATCCATGGCATGGCCACAGCCTTGAGCCTGCTTGCATCTCCTGCCAGCTGGAGGCAGGTGTGGGCAACCCTCCTTGCAGGTTCTCCAGCATATCCTGCTTCCAGCTGACATTGGTGTCAGCCCCTGGTACCTCCCCTGGCTCTCCCACCTCCCAGCTCCATCAGCTCCCTGATGTTGCCCTATGCTGCCCCATGGGAAGTGTGATGGGTGGCCTGGCCAGCAGGGCATAGGAGACATCTTGGACTTGTCATGGATGTCGCTGGGGATCCAGAGCTGCTGCATGCCCACCCAGGGGGATACTGAAGATCAGAGCTGCAGAAGAGTGCCTTGGCCTGGAACTGAGGAACCAAAGACATGGCTCACAAACTCAAAAACGTCTATAGTTTCTGGTACAGGCAGGTGATAATCTAAGAGCAGAAAATGGCTCTAAGATGGTGCAAACCAACCCGGGAATAGGTCTGAAGACCACTGGAGTGCAGAATCTTTTAACCGCAGCAGCTCATCCTCTGAGCTATGCTGGGGTGTTCTCCAAACACCTCCAGATGAGCAGGGATGCTTTATGGGGCCATTGCCCTGGCCCAGGGTGGGTAGTCTGCTGATTAAAAGTAGGGAAAGTGACCAAGAGAGGAAATAGGCACTCGGACTGGGCGGTGGCATCTGGAATTCCCCCTCCTGCTCTCTGCATTGCTCATTGGAAATCAGCACCCACTCCCCAGCATGGCCTCGGTCCTGCACCGTCCACTGTTGACAGCTGACAGAACCCTGCAGGACCTGCCATTTCCTCCCTGGGAAGATGTGTAAATGCTGCAATCCATCACTGTCCTGTCTCCTGCAGCAGGCCAGCTGGCTGGGGGACGGGGCTCTGGGTGGGGCGTAGTGTCTGTCATTACCAGCTGGAGGCAGTGGAACTCCTTGAGGCCAGTCCCAGGGGACAGTTAGAGGGTGATGCACACTACACCTTCGGGTGCTGCTTGTGACCCTGCTGCACCATTTGGATCCATAACTGATATCAGGTTCACCTTGCTGGGCAGGGACAGATCCCAGAGCAGCACCGTGCCTGATCTTCACCCTCAGAATCCCTACATCCTGCAATCCTCTCAGAAAGATGCTTCTCCAGCTCAGTACATACTCCCTCCTGCTGCAGGATGTTCTGGTGACCAGCTCAGGGTTTCCCTGCTTTCCCCTCATTCAGCTACCCAGCAGTGCAGCCATCCCACACACCAGCACACAGAAACACCAGCCTGTGCACCCCAATGCAATACCCCACTGTACCCTCCTCCTCTTGCGCCCCACAAGCCCCGTGGCACTGCCTGCACCCCACACCCCTGCATCTCCTGCTGCTACTGGTTGGAAAGGTAAAAAAAAATATTAATGATTATTAGGAAGAGCTAAAGCGGAATTGCAAATGTTATTTCTCTGGTAGATGGATGATAGCGAGGTGGATGATAGATAGCTGGATGGATGGATCTCTTTCCCTCCAAGCTGTAACCCCCTTCCAATCGCTCCCTCTGGAGCGCTGCTGTCACCTTGTCTCTGCTCAGAAGGGCTTTTACTGGCTCACTGGGGGATGCACGAGAACAGGTTATTAATACATGGAGAGGGGGATGGAATCCATTTGACTTGAAAATAGCTGAGAAACTGAACTGCACTTTTAAAATCTGCTTTTAATCAGAAGGAAAAGAAGAGAAGTTTGAACAATTAGGGAGTAATGAAGAGCTTTGGAAAAAAAAAGCTCTCTGAAGATTAGCTAAGATTTTTACAGCACTTGGAGAATTTAAAGAGCTATGCTGGTATCGAGCAAAACGATACAAATATTCCTTGTGAAAATCACAAGTGATGGGACTGATGGTGAGTGCCAGAGCCTGGATGTCCACAGGCAGGCAAAGTGCCGGCTTGCTGTAAGCAGTGATGCTGTGCTGCCTGCATGCCAGGGCAGGCAAGCGGCTGGCAGTAGCTGGGCTCACCCTTGCCCCTGCCCATGAAAGGTAATGGGAGCTTGGCCAGGAGGGAACCTCAGCTTGGCCACGGATAAAGAGTTGTGGTGGAATCTCAGGTGGAAGCACAGCCACTATGGCAAGGCTGAATCCATCCCTTTTACTCCAAGCCCTTGTCAAGCGGAGCAGGGGTGATCCCCTATGGATTTGGGTTTTGTGGGGCCAAGGATGCCCAGGAGATGTTCAGGGGCAGGGACCATTGATGGCACATCCCTAGAGGAGAGCTCATGGAAAAGCTTCACTCAGGTGCTCCCTGAGGCTCAAGCACACGATGGGCAGCTGTGATGCTGGCGTCCCCTACCCTGAGCCAAGCCCTGGTCCTTACTGTGCAGGGAAGCCCACTAGTCAGGCCGTCTGTCCCAGGCGTGCTGGCGGCTGCTCCCTCCCAGTACCTGCCAAGGGCCCGTCACTGGGAGGTGAGCGCGGGGGCTGCACAGCCGTGCACAGCAGCAGCTGGGTAATTTTCATGCTAAGTGAAAAGTAAAGTGCACAGACTCTTTATTAGAGCAAGCACGATGCGGGGAACAATGAAGGCAGTGATGATCGTTAACTTTCTAATCGGAGGAGAAAAGTCCTCAATGCAATTTTTATGGTAATAACATCGACACTAAAGATAATTGCTCCCCGCGTCGCGCTTAGCGCCAGGAAACTGTTTGGGAAAAAAACATTAATTTGCAGGAACTGAGCCAAAGTTTCCTTAAGGCAGCTGTTCCCTGTGCCACCCTGTCCCCAGTTCATGCCAGTACTTCCCGTTGGCCAACCCGTTGCCCTTCCACCTCCACCCATGCTGACACCCCTCATCCCTTATGCCAGCCAGGCTGGATTTGCACCGTACTGGTGCTGGCTGGTGGCACAGGGCTCTCCCAGCATTGCTCCCTGGGGCTCAGCTCAGCAATGCTGGAGGCTGTGCAGCCCACCACTGTGGTGGTGGAAGAAGGCCAGGAACATTTTGGGTGACATGATGGAGCAGCGCTTATGCTGCAGTGAAGGGGACAGGCAGGGCTGCCCCATGTGCCGGGACCACCGTGAGCAGGGCAGAATGGGAACTCATGCTCCCTGGGGAATAATAAGCACAGGAGAAATTACAGCCAGGTGACATTTTAACGAGCCGGCGTCCTGTGTGGCATTAATATTCCAGGGGCTGCAATTCCCTCGTGGGCGTTTGAGAGATGAAAAAAAATCCCAGCCCAGTAAAATCAAATAAATAAATCTCTGCCTAAGCGTGGCGTCTCCCCCGCCCCCGGCACGGAGCGGGTGGCACGCGGTGTGATTTCCCCTGTGATCCCCTGCTGCCGAGCAAGCAATCGTCTCATCTTTGAGCGTGGCAGCAGGATGATTTATCCTGGCTCCCGGCGCCCCAGCTGGGGTGAGAGCATAGGGCCGGGGATGATGCATTGGGCAGGAGCAGAGGTGGCAGCAGGGGGAAGGCGGGAGAGCAGGGCGCGCACACAGGCCACCACTCAATTCTAAATTAATTTTAATATTTGACAAATCAAATCTACTTAGGTGAGCCATGGGCCATGCGAGCGAGATTTATGAGGGTTCGGGGCTGTTGGCTGCGTGTGTAGCCCTTGTTCACCGCTGCCTAACGGGGTTCTGGCACTCACAGCATCACTAACTCCCCCCTTCCCAGGAGCAGGGATACAGACAGTGAAGCGGCATGACAGTGGCAAGAAAAATGTCCTAGACTCTAAGATCTGGCTTATTAGGCTGGCAGGAGTGACAGATCTTTTGCCTGCCCCACCTCTGAGCCCTCCAGCAGAGCTGGAAGTCAGGGCACAGTCCTGGCTACAGCTGGACATGGTACCTAATGTCTCTGGGAACTCTATCTGAGCTGGGGCAGAGCAGTCCGTTCCAGCACACTGGGAATGGTGCTGGAGCAGTTTCCCAGTTTGGGGGCAATTACAGACCTGTGGAGAGAAGAGCCACACTGGGAGCTGGCGGTGGTGCGCAGGGTGCGTAGAGCCATTCCCCTGCAGGGCCATTTCAGTCCCAGCTCCACCATCAGCCTGCAGATTCATGGGCCCTGGGAGGTGACAGGAAACCTGATAGGTTTTAAGACAGCAACATGCCCTGAATCCGCAAGGTACCTGAACAGACGAAGCAGGGAATCCAAAATGTTTACAGCCTCAAGGGACTGCGGAGCAGGGAAGGCAGGCTGGGCTGCCTAGGATGAGTTTGCCATGCTGGGGACAGACTGCTGACATCCCTTACGTGCCATTGGCGATCCCTGCCTAGGCACAGGCATCTCCCCAGCAGCTCTGCAGGACAGGTAGGAGAGACTCAGGGAAGTTCAGTGCTCCTGTGACAAACCTGCTTCTATAGCAAAGCCTCAGCATGAGGGGTTCCCAGACTGCAGAGGTCTCTTGCAGTGGTGCCAGAAAGGGGTCTTCAATGCTTTCTGTCCCAGTGACCCTCACTCCTACCTGGTGGTGAGGATGAGCCTGTACTTGCTTCTTTTTGCTGACTCCTTTACTTGGCACAATCAGATAGCTATGCCCATGTGCTCAGGCAGGGAGACCAGGACTCTCCTCAGCCAGCCTCTGCCTGCAGGATGCTACTACAGAGATGCAGCACTGGGCTCTGTGCTGGAGACCAGCCCCGTGTCTGGCTGCAGCCTCAAGCTGGAGCATCTCAAGGGACCTACAGCATATCCCTGTATTGAGGGACATACAGTGGTACACGGTCCATGGCAGGGCAGGTCGTCTTTCTAGCTCATCCAGCAGCACAAAAGCAACTGGTACACAAAGCTCAGGCCAGCCTAGAACCCATGGTGGCTCCATTTCCTGCTCTACCTGTGTCTCCCTCAAGTCTCGCTCTGACAACAGGAGAGGCCTCCACCTGCTCCAGGTGTGCCAGAGAACAGCCAAGGGCCAGGAGAGACATGTGAGATACAGGAGAGACAGCCTGTATGCAGGGATGACATGCACACCTACAGTCTGCAAGTCTTACAGTATAAAACAGACACCACAAAGGCCTCAGAGGGACTTAAGAAATCTCTACAAGTTGCCTGATCCAGTAGTGATCATCTTTGAGAGGTGATAGATGTAAGGAGAAGGCAGTTTCCAGCCCCTGCCTGCCCCTGTGCTTGTCCAGGCTCCTGGCTGGGCACCAGAGACAGCTGCTGCATCGCAGCATGTCCCTGCAGAGCGGGATGCAGCAGGATGGATGGAGGACCATGCCTCCAGGGCTGTGAGCTTGCAGTGAGCTTCATCTCCATAATGGCACATGGTTCCTGATGGCCCTCTCCAGCCCAGTTCCAGCCCCACAGGTGTCCCATCCACAGCAGAGGCAAACAGTGCCAGCCCTACTGACGAACAGTTCGTGGGAAGGTGGGCACTGTATTATGACTCCAGTTCTCAGCAGAAGCGTATGCTCCCATAAACTATCTACATTTGGATGCAGAGATTTCTAGGGATTTGAGAACACTGTACTGCTGATAATTAAACATCTGCTCTGCATTTGTCTATCTTCCTGCTGTGATGTCGCTCCAGCCCTCACTTTCCTCTCCCTGTCCTCCTGCAAGCACTCTGAACAAGGATGGCATTCCCTGCTCAGTGCTCTGCTCCAGCCCTGAGGTACAGCGTTCCAGACCATGGATACTGGGAGAGAGAGGGCAGCTCTGGGCACCCCTAGGAACAAACAGGAGCTTCACTGCCAGCATCTGGAGCCTTTGTGGAGCTGTGAAGCTGACAACCTTCCCTGTGGCTTGCACCAGCCCAAACAGTTTCTCTGAGCCCCACCGAGCATCACCAGCCAGTGCTTGTCCATGCACAGTCCCCTGGACAGCTGCCACCACTATCCTGCGACCAGGAGAGCATCAAAACAACCTCCAAATTGATCTCTGAGAGTCTCCTGTGAGCCCCAGTCATGTCCTGCTAGGAGCAAGCGTCTGCTCTAGTTACTGTCTCCTAGGAGAGCACCGAGGGCTTCAGGCTGTCACAGGAGGAGCAGACCCAAACATGACATCTCCATGGAGCCCTGGGTATGGCAGGTAGGACTGCAGCACCACTGAGCAGATGGCATCAGAGCCTGGATCGATGGGACCCAGCTGGGCCCCATGGGGGCTCTAACAGCTCATACAGGGCAGTGGGGTGAGCTGGGGAAAGGGATGAGTCCCTTCCCCAGCTGCAGTTCCCTGGCTCCAGCTGTGCCCATGCCTCTGCCCAAGCACCCCCAGGGCTCAGCTAAGGTAGCTGCCCACTGCCTGCACTGCTGGCCCTGAGGGGCCACATCCTGCCTGCACTGCACTCCCTACCTGGCCACTGGTGGCAAGCTGGGGCACTTGCAGTGCCGTGCCAGATGGGCACTGCCAGCAGCCATGCCACCACCACTGCCCTGGGGCCCACAGCAAAGGGGGGTGCCAGCATCCATGGGGACAGCACCCTACTCAGGATAGGGTTCCAGGAGCTGATGTGGGTGCAAGGATGGGGGAGGCTCTCTGGGGTGCACTGCAGAGCCCCTTCTGCAGCACCCCAAAACTTTCCAGCCACCTGTCCCCCTTCACCAGGGCTGCCCTTCAAACCATCCCTTGTCCTCTGCCTGCTCCCTGCCCTCACCTCCCAGCCCCCACACTGTTTGTCACACCTGTCACCATGGCAAGGGAGAGATTAGCCATAGACCCACCACTCCTGCCCCAAGCCACTGATTCATATTCATGAGACTTCAAAGCATCTCTCTGGCTTTCCTGCACCAAACCTAATCCTCTGCTGCAGCACCATGCCAGCAGCCCTCTTTCACAGCACAGGGGCCCTGCAGCTGACAGCCCCACAGCCCTCCTGCCCTGGCTGGCTGTGGCCGTGCAGCCACGCTCCCACTGCCCCTGCTCTGCCCTGGCAAGCCTGGCCCACAGGCCTGGGGAGATGCTCTGCACCATGGAGATGCTGCCATGGGAGCCACAAAAATCAGAGGTCAGCATCAAAGAGGTGGTGGTTTGTGTGTCCTCACCTGCACCTGTGCATCCCTTCACCCCTCAGGGCTGTGCATACTGCACCCCATCTGGACTACCAACCCAGCAGCATCCCTGCATGGATCACAGCAATACCAACAGCCCTTTGTAGGAGATGATTGGTGCAGCTGCCCCACAGCCCCCCACATCCCCCCACATCCCTGCCACAGTGAGCAACCAGCAGGCATCAGACAGGGACTATTGAGGGGCAGCTGGGTGTGCAGAGCATGGTCTTGCTGGGCAGTCTGCCTGCTCCCACCAGGGACAAATCCTGCAGCACAGTACTGGCAGAGAAGTGGCAGGGAGTATGCTGGAGGCATTTGGAGGTGCAAGCAGGACCAAAGCGAGTACCTGCTCCCAGCCTGCCCCTGCAGAGTTGTGGGGCAGAAGATGGAAGGACAAGGCACCCAGGGGTGCCCTCTCATCACTCTGATGCAGTGTGCATGCAGGCAGGGCTGTGGAACCCCACAAGCACTAGTGCTAACCAGGCCACCTCCAGGTACAGCTCATCTGCTCCACAGCAGGATCACATCGGGGTCAAACACAGCCAGCCCTGCTCAGAGAGCCGGCATCATCATGCCACCCGCAGGTGCTGGCAGCCCCGCACCGGCGCTGGTGCCGGGAAGGTGCTGGCTCGGCACACAGGTCCTGGCTGTGGGCAGGCAGCGGGCGGCGGGTCCCCCATGGAGCCGTCTCCTCCAGATGGCGAAGGCCATTAGAGCCGCTCTTATGCGCACGGAGCCATAAAGTTTATGGGCCTCATCATTTAGCTGTAATGGAAATAGTTAAATCTGTCTCTGTTTAAGCAAACTCTGCCCTCGTGGGAGTGCTTGGGCAGGCAGAGGCCTCCGGCAGCCAGGGGGTGCCTCTGCTCACAATCCATCACCCGAGCAGCTGGGGCACCCAGCCCTGGCACTCCCACTTGGCACCTAAGACATCCCCCTCCTGTCAGGATGGGGACAGGCAGTGACACCAGGATGGGCGTTCTCCCTGTACTGCCAGCCCTGGATCTTAAGTTTCCCCTCAGTGCAGATAATGCTAGAACCACATTTGGGATGGCCAGGCAGGCTTTGGGACTACACAAATTCCCTGACAGCAGGAGCCGAGAGGCAACGTGCAGCCAGGTGGGCAGAGAGGGCAGGGAACTGTGGGCAGGATGATGCCTGTCTGCTTCAGACAGGGCACCCACAGCTGCATAGGGGTGAGATGGATTCAGCTGATGCAGACCTGCCCTGCAGTGTTGGGGGCTTTGGCCCAACAGCCTCTGGGCAGAACCCGGCCTGGAGCCTGCTGGACCACATTGCATGGGGCAGAAGAGCATGTGGTACATTGAAAGCCGCTTTTCATCCCTCACCAGACTCCTAGAGAGCTGGGCAGGTTGACCCCCAGCTTTTGAAGGGTGGAGGGTAACAGTAACACTGTACTGTGTCTCACTGCACCCCTCAGCCCTGGCCTGGGGGTGTGACGCTGGATCCCCAACTGGGAAGCTGCCAGTGTGTTTATGGAGGGCCGCTTTCTCCCTGTCGTCACGTGGGGTGGATAGGGGTGCTGACCCCAAAGCAGTAGGACAAGTTACACCACCTGCCCCATGCAACCTTCCCCTCACCCCACATCTCACCTGGGATGAGGTGAGACCCAGAGCTGTCTCCACTGCTGGAGCTGGTCTCCCCACCCATGCTTAGCCATGGTGGTGGTGGGAGCTACCCCCTCTCTAGCATGCAAAGCTTGATTAATTACAGAGTAAGTCATTAATATTCACAGCTAATTAAAGATCCTTATAATGAATAATGGAAATCACTCTCCAAATTATGGGACAAGGATAGAGGAGGGGGGAAAAAGCCCTGCAGAGAGAGGGGGTTATGGA